GGGGGGGGGCGCTTCCGCCCCCCCCGCCCCCGCCACAAAATTGCCCGCCACCCACGGCACACGCCTGTTTTGCTGACGCACACAGACAGGATAGGACTAAAAGGCGCTTTTCCGTGGCTGCTCTCACGTCTTCTATTATCAAACTCGGTCCTCTGGGGATTTATGATCCAGGGAGCGCAATTTTAATGTCCTCCGTGAATCTATCTAGCTCATTTTTGAACCCTGTTAAAGTCCTAATCTTTACAACATCCTCTGGCGAGGAGTTCCACAGGTCGTGTGCTAAGCGAAGAAAAATTTCCTTTGTTTTTTTTAAAACCTGCTGCCTATTCATTTCATTTCTAAGCTGAAAAGTCCAAGTCGTTTTAATCTCCCTTCATACGGGACCTGTTCCAAACCCCTAATCACTTTTGTACTTTTCTCAACCTTTTCTAATGCCAAGAGATCTTTTTCGAGATGAGGTGACCACATCTATACGCAAGATTCAAGATGAGGGCATCCTATTTTATATAGAGGCGATAAAATATTCTCTGTCTTATTCTCTGTCCCATTTTTTAATGATTCCTAAAACGCTATTTGCTTTTTTGACTGCCACTGTGCACTGCGTGGATGTTTTCAAACTCCATCTAAATGAATAATATATTTACTCATACCGTATGCTGGGATTAATTCTTGGATACCTGCTCCTAGGAGAATAAATTGATAAATCAATCTGAAAATTACACAAGCATGGAGACAGGAGGACTACAGTGCCTGGGATACTCCGGTTCGAAAAGTATCACAGGCACCTGGGGCAGGCGGAAGGAATTCGGCCACCGGAATTTTGAAATGGGCCTATGCACTAAAAAAAGCAGATCGACTGAGTCGTGTGCTAAGAATTAAAGTAAAAGGCTGGACGTACTGCAACGATTTTTGATCAGCGGACCGCTCTCAAAAAGCTGATCTCGGATCTCATGACCGTAAAGAGCACCCAACATTTGTAGCGGCTGCTGGTCTGTGGTCCATGCACAAAGTTGGCAGCTGTCGAACGGATCTCAAGCTGAGACCCACAAGTGGACAGCCACAGATTTGCAGGGCGCTAGATAGAAACATTTAGATCTGCACTCATCGGCGATCCACAAACGTGTTCTGTGGATGTCTGCGGATATCCGCATCCATGGACAGAAGGCAGATTTAGGGCACGCCCACACAGCAGGGCCGAAGTCGAAAGAAGCGCTCTCAGTTGCGTAGCGGAAATCAATATAGCCCGACTCGGCTGTTGGCGCTCTCTACATGGCAGGAAGTTGAAGAAGCCATCAATTGATCCCTCTCCTGTCATCCATTTCCAGCCCCTGACAAACAGAGGCTTACCATCCTGGCTGGTAAGTATTGATGGACCTAACCTCCATGAATTTATCTAGTTCTTTTTTGAGCCTTTCCAAGTCCTGGTCTTCACCACATCCTGCGGCGAGGAGTTCCACAGGTTGGCAGTGCGCCGAGTGAAGAAAAACGGCCTTTTGTGTGTTTTAAACTTGCTACCTATTCATTCATGACTAGTTCTTGTGGGAACAAGTCAATAACTTTTCCTTATTCACTTTCTCCATGCCAGTCAGGATTGAATAGACCTCTGTCCTATCCCCCCTTAGTCTCCTCTTTTCTAAACTTCCCAGTCTCTTTAATCTCTCTTCACAGGGGACCCGTTCCAACTCCCTCATCATTTCTATGGCCCTTTTCTGAACCTTTTCCAATGCCTAGAGATCTTTTTGGAGATGAGTCGACCACATCTGTCTGTAGTATTCCAGATGTAGGGGTCTCATCGATTTTTACAGAGGCAAAAACATATTCTGTCTTTTTCTCGATCCCTTTTTGAGTGATTCCTAATATTCTGTTTGCTTTTTTGACTGCCGCTGCACATGGAGGGGATGTTTTCAGAGATCTCTCCACAATGACTCCAAGATCTCTCTCTTGAGTTGTTATAGCTAAATTAGTCCCCATCGTATTGTATGTCTAGCTGGGATTATTTTTATCAATGTGCACGACATTACATTTACCAGCCTTAAATTTCATGTGCCTTTGTGTTGCCCAATCACCTAGTTTAGTGACTGTCCATTTCAGGACCATGCAAACCCCCAAAACAATCCGTGGCTGCCCCCGACGTGTCGGTTTTCCTAACCCGAATTCCGTGAAGAATGAGCTAGAAACTGCAGAAAACATATCAAGGGGAAACATAAGAAAAGAAAAAACGGTTATTGTCAGAGCTTAGCAGACAATGTTTAGTCTGCTGACCGTAATAAGCAAAGCCAATCAATTCAAGACAATAATTAGTCGGATCATCATGAGGGCATCTTTTGTTCAGGGAAGCGGAGTTCGTGACTAGTTTTAATAACTTCCCCTGTTGCCTAGGTTAATGTTTCTCAACTTTTTTTTAATAAAGTACCCCTTTAAAAATATAAGTACCCCCCCGTACCTACAGTTTTCAGACACACCCATTTTTTTCCCACCATTGCAACACTTTCGTTTAAACAACTTCATCATGAGCGGGCAATGATATTTTGGGGGATAAAAAGAATAAAACTAAGAAAGCGCTGTCAAACTTCAAACAAAACTTCAATTTTCTCCAAATTTCAGTTGGATGGATGTACCCCCCCGACTTCTCTCAAGTACTCCCGAGGAGTCTCATACATCAGCAATTGGACGACATCTTCGTGGGCAAGTTTGGGAGTTTGGCATGAATCACTCCCTACGGAGTTGAGGAATGAAAACACACGAGACTGCAGGCACGTACCTGCGGCCACCAGTGTCCTAAAAGTTCAACCTGGGTTAAAAGTTTCCCTTTTTAAGGAAAACACAAAAGGCCAGCTTTAGGGCGGGGGGACATGGAAGACGGTGAGCAGATGGGTGTAGGAGGTGTAAATCCGGCCCTGAAAATGCATGCCTGCATCCACACAACGGATACGGACATTCAGCCGACTCACATGCATGGCCTATTTTGGTATAATGGTCTTCGAGGCTCTGCCGATGTGTGTCATCTGTCACAATCTCCAAACACTTGGTTGGACATAAGGAACAACTTCCTCTCTGTCTGGGTGGTGAAACCCTGGAATAAATTGCCTAGGGAGGTTAAATCCCGGGAGATATTGAAGAGCAGGTTGGATAGATATCTACCAGGGATCTAGACCGTGTTCCTTAAACTTTTTAAGACCGAGGAACACCAAAGAACAATTTTTTTATGCGGAACACCAAGGATTTTTTTGTTGAGCAAAAAAAAGAGTCGGGGAGAGTTGTTGAGTGGAAAAAAAGGGGTCGGAGAAGAGTTGTTGAGTGAAAAAAAAAAGGTCAGGGGAGAGTTATTGAGCAAAAAAAAGGGTCAGAGGAGAGTTGTTGAGTGAAAAAAAGGGTTGGAGGAGAGTTGTTGAGCAAAAAAAGGGTCAGAGGAGAGGAGTTGAGTGAAAAAAAAAGGTCAGGGGAGAGTTGTTGAGCAAAAAATAAGGGTCGGAGGAGAGTGGCTGAGCAAAAAAAAAAAGTTTGCCTGCCCCTTTAAGGGCAGCCATTTTGAACTTTGTTCACAGTTTAAGAAACACTGATCTACACGGTGCTGGGTCCTGCCATGAGGGCCGGGAACTGGACTTGATGACCTCTCGAGGCTCCTTCCCGTTCTAGTGTTCTATGAACATCAGTATCCCCCAGAACCACCCACCCTGCTGCGGTCTCCCGACTCCAGATCTACGCCGGAGCCAAGAACCAGACTCGCAAAAGCTACCGAGGCTCCAAAATTCTATTGCTTTCAGCAGAAATGAAGAGCCCCGATACCTTGGAGGAACTGGCCCGCCAACATGCGTGGGAAGAGGCCGGGTTTTATTCACTGTGGCCAGGCTTTCTGTAGACAGAGTTTTCCTCCCGCGTGTGTTCTCTGATGCCGAACGAGGTTCGAACTCCGGGTCATGCACTTCCCGCAGTGGGAGCACCGGTAGAGTTTCTCTCCCATGTGGGTTCTCCGGTGGGCAATGAGGTTGGAGCTCCGACTGAACCCTTTCCCGCACTCGGGGCATTTGTACGGTTTCTCCCCCGTGTGGGTCCTCTGGTGCGTGATGAGGTCAGAGCTCTGGCAGAAACTTTTCCCGCAGTCCAGACACTTGTAAGGTTTCTCTCCCCTGTGGAACCGCTGGTGCCTAGCGAGGTGGGACAGCTGGCTGAAACTTTTCTCGCAGTCGGGGCACTGGTAAGACGTCCCTCCCCCGTGCGATCGGTGATGGGCAATCAGGTGGGAAATCCTAGGGAGGCTTTTCCCGCACTCCGTGCACGTGTAGGACTTCTCCTCGGTGTGGGTTCTCTGGTGCGTGATGAGGTCGGAGCTCTGGCAGAAACTTTTCCCACAGTCCAAACACTTGTAGGGTTTCTCTCCCCTGTGGAACCGCTGGTGCCTCGCGAGGTGGGACTGCTGGCGGAAGCGTTTCTCGCAGTCCGGGCATGGGTAAGGGGTCTCGCGGCTGGTAAGGCGGGAAACCCGCCGGAGACTTTTCCCAGGGCCGGGACGTTTCTTTGGCATCTGCCCTGTGTGGGATTTCAGGTGACTGATCAGCTGTGAGTTGCGACGGAAGTTTTCCCCGCAGTCGGGGCACGGGTAGGGCTTCTCCCCGGTGTGGATTCGCTCGTGGGTGGTGAGGTGGGACCTCTGGCTGAAGCTTTTCCCACAATCCAGGCAGGGGTAGGGCTTCTCGCCCGTGTGGGTCCTCTCGTGGGCGGTGAGGTGGGATCTCCAGCTAAAGACCTTCCCACACTCGGCACACGCGTAGGACCTCTCCTCCAGGGGAACGCGCAGCTGGATCGCGGTTTCGTTGAGAAGACGGAACCCTCCCGGGGGGTCGGTGGATTTTTCTTTTCTCTCCACTTCATGGCTTCCTGGTGCCCTCTCAGGCATAAGCTGACTCTGAGAAGTTTTTCCCTGCTCGGGATTCTGGGAAACATTCCCTTGGACTCTTTCTAAGGAAGTCACATTTGGATCCACTATCTCAGAACCTTCCAGAGGACCACCTAGAAGATAATAGGATAATAAGTATCATAGAATCATAGAGTTGGAAGAGACCTCAGGAGGTCTATGCCCAAAGAAGGACCAAGCCCAACTCAATCATCCCAGCCAGGGCTTGGTCACGCCGGGATTTAAATACCTCCAGGGATGGAGATGGAAATAGTAGTCAAATCATGCCAAAACAACCCAAATTTCTTTTTTTTGGACACGGTTTCTGGGCTCGCGACTAGGAGGAAGCAGTAGACATGATCCATCTTGATTTCTGAGGGTGTGTCTAGACTACAGGGTTTTGTCGACAAAAGTGGACTTTTGTCGACAAAACGATACCTGCGTCTACACTGCCACCGAGTTCTGTCGACATAACGTCAACAAATTGTGTGTCTTATTTCGAGCAGAGGGTGCAGTGTAGATGCACCCTAAGGGTGTGTCTACACTGCAACGCTATTTCAAAATAACTAGCGCTATTCTGAAATAACGTAGTCCACCTCTACACGGCCGGCAGTTATTTCGAAATAGTGCTGAAATCCTGTCGAGCTGGAGGACTTCTTACCCCGACTCCTGTAACCCTCGTTGTACGAGGAGGAAGGGAAGGCAGAGGAAGAGCGCTCAACTTCAAAATAAGTGCTGTGTAGATGCTCCCTATTTCGAAATGAGCTACGCAATTGACGCAGCCTGGGGAGAGATGTTGCCAGAGGCCAAGTGGAGGGGTGGGAGGAGTCCTGCATTTCGCTCAATAGCTATGTTTTTAAGAAGCATATGGGATTTCTATAGGGAGAAAGGAAGCAGAAGGGATTTTTATATGGCAAAGAAGTTAGAAGATAGATAGATAGATAGATAGATAGATAGATAGATAGATAGATAGATAGATAGATAGATAGATAGATAGATAGATAGATAGATAGATAGATAGATAGATAGATAGATAGATAGATAGATAGATAGATAGATAGATAGATAGATAGATAGATAGATAGATAGATAGATAGATAGATAGATAGATAGATAGATAGATAGATAGATAGATAGATAGATAGATAGATAGATAGATAGATAGATAGATAGATAGATAGATAGATAGATAGATAGATAGATAGATAGATAGATAGATAGATAGATAGATAGATAGATAGATAGATAGATAGATAGATAGATAGATAGATAGATAGATAGATAGATAGATAGATAGATAGATAGATAGATAGATAGATAGATAGATAGATAGATAGATAGATAGATAGATAGATAGATAGATAGATAGATAGATAGATAGATAGATAGATAGATAGATAGATAGATAGATAGATAGATAGATAGATAGATAGATAGATAGATAGATAGATAGATAGATAGATAGATAGATAGATAGATAGATAGATAGATAGATAGATAGATAGATAGATAGATAGATAGATAGATAGATAGATAGATAGATAGATAGATAGATAGATAGATAGATAGATAGATAGATAGATAGATAGATAGATAGATAGATAGATAGATAGATAGATAGATAGATAGATAGATAGATAGATAGATAGATAGATAGATAGATAGATAGATAGATAGATAGATAGATAGATAGATAGATAGATAGATAGATAGATAGATAGATAGATAGATAGATAGATAGATAGATAGATAGATAGATAGATAGATAGATAGATAGATAGATAGTTTTATTATTTGATGTTATATTTATTACTTTATAGTGTGTGGATTGGTTATGTGCAGAGGAGCGGGGGTTTATTGGTTTGGATTCATGTTTTAGTTAGGGCAGGATGGTTTTCTTTTTAATATAAAATAGTTTTTTTATAATCTTTTTTAAATTAGGACTAGCGGGGTTTGTCTCGTTCTGTTGTTTTGTTGATGGATGTTTCTCCTTTTTAGTTGTTTGTGTTTTGTTTTGTTATGTTATGTTAAGTGGGTTTTGGTTACAAATATTTGGTTTTCACTGATAAATGTTTGGGGGCGGATTTAGAGTTGCTGATTTCTTTATATTTTGATGGGGCTAGATAGGAATTGTGGGTGCTTTTATGTTTGTTTTTGGAGGTTTGTTTTAGAATAGTTGCCTTGGTGAGGGTTTTATTTATTTTTTTATACATAAGGTTGATTTTTTTGGTGTAGAGAAGTGTTTTTTGCTCTAAGAATATGTATATTTGAATAAGGACATTAAATTATAATTTAAAAAAATAATTATTCTATTCTCTCCCAGGGCAGGAGAGATCCAAGATCCAGTTCCCCACCCCACCCCGATGGGAGGGGACATGAACCAAAGTTCTCCTATGTCCCCGGTGACTGCCCGAACCCTTGAGGTTTGAACCCCGCTCCGTCCCCAACAACCGACTCTTTGGTGTGAACGTACTTTGGGGGCCTGATCCGGTAGGCAGCCTCCGACCAAACCGCTGGTTCAAGTCTGGCGCACGCCCGTCTGCTCCTGGTTTGTAAGCCACCCTGGGGTGTTGGTGGGAAACAAGCGTCCGGAATCTTACAGGGAGGCAGCAGCCCCGAAACGTAGGTGCCCCGGGAACTGTGCCTGCCACACGTAGGCGCTGAGTGAGTTCGTGGGAGTTTGGTGAGCTGCACTCGCGTAAGACAAGGACTGAGGTGCCTAACTCCTTTGGGGCACCGAGGCAGAGGTGCGCGGATTGGGGAGAGTCCGAAGGAGAGTGGCGAAACTGAGCCAGGGTTTCCAAAAGCCTGCCCTGCGAGGAAAAGCTGACGAGAACTTGGCGGCCAAATTTCCCGCGGTCCCACAAAGTTTGTCGACAGCCACCAGTGCTAGCGCTCAGCGTTCTGGGCTGTGACTTAGCTCGATTCGATCCCCAAATCTCTTCTCACAGCTCAGTAAACAGAGGAAGTGCCAGTAACACTGCTAGACAAGGTCGACCTCCCACGGTCTGGCAAATTCCCACGGTGCCGGACTAGAGAGGTTCCACCTGCATGGTGAATCCTGAGGAAAGACTTTGGGATCCCAGGCTTCAAATACTTTAAGGGCTGTTTTAAGGAGGATGGCGAGTCATTGTTTCCCCTGTCCATTGAAAGCAGGAGCAGTTATTCTCGAGTTAATCTGCAGTAAGGGAGGTTAGATTGTCGGGGAAAGGTTTTAATGCTAAGGAACAGGCTTCAAAGGGAGGTTGTGGCATTCCTATCGCTGGAGGATTGTAGACACAGCTTCTAATAGCCACTTGTTGTTATTAGCCTCTTGTTGGAGTGAAAGTATTATATCTTTTTATATTTGCATTTTAGGTTTAATAACGGAGCAACGTAAGGGAACACATTTAACATCTTATTAAATAAGCCCTGTAGTTAAATATATATTTTATTGGTTTAAAATTTAGTAAGTAAGGAGACAGGTTTTTGGTATTGCCTGTGATGGAAACAAGTCGATAACTTTTCCCTATTCACTTTCTCCACACCGGTCATGATTTTATAGACCTCGATCCAACCTCCCCCCGCCCCCCGAGTCTCCTCTTTTCTAAGCTAAAAAGTCCCCGTCTCTTTAATCTCCCATCATATGGGACCCGTTCCAAATCCTGAATCATTTTCGTGGCCCTTTTCTGAACTTTTTCCAGTGCCAAGAGAGCTTTTTGGAGACGAGGCGACCGTCTGTGTTAAGGAGATTAGAAATATTGAAGGCCCGTGCCTTCAAGATGAATTGTTTTGATTAAGGTTTAATTTACAGTGCTTTTTGCTTTTGAGAAACACCGCTATTGGTACCAAAAGACAGGTCTATGTAGCTCTTTAAAGACTAACAAGATGGTTTCTTAGGTGATGAGCTTTTGTGAGCCAAACCCACTTCCTCAGATCAAATTGTGGAAGAAAATTGGCATGACCAGGGCTTGACGAACAGCGGCAAAAGCCACTCGCCAGCCCTGCACTGCGCACGCGCAGGACCCGCATTGCGCATGCGTAACTGCAAACGAACGGGGCGCCCGGCTGAAATTTACTTGCCACGCGTGAGTAGATTCAATATTTTTTCGAGCCCTGGGCATGACCATAAATACCAGAGGGATACAAACAAACAAAAAGTAAACACATAGAAAATAGGCAAATCAGATTTGAGAACCCTTTTCCTTCCCCAAGAAGAGACTAGGTGTGCTTGCCCATGACAAGCCACATATTTCCTGAAGAGTGGCACCCAGAACAGGACACAGTACCCCTGTTGAGGCATAATCAGCTTGGAGTACAGTGAAATAATTACTTCTCCTGTCTTGCTTACAACACTTCTTCTAATACATCCCAGAATTATGTTTTCTTTTTTGCAGTAGTGTTACTCTATTGTTGCTTACTCAGCTTGTGACCAATTATAACTTCCAGGTCCATTTCTGTAGTACTCATTCCCCCCCCCCATTTTATATGGGTACGTCTAGACTACAGGGTTTTGTCAACAGAAGTTTTGTCGACAGACACTGTCGACAAAGCTTCTGTCGACAAAGAGCGTCTAGACGACAGCCAGTTCTGTCGACAAAGCAAGCCGCTTTGTCGACATAACAGTGTGGACACAAAGGACAGTGCAGATGCAATAACGCCTTCTGTCGACAGAACTCTGTCAACAAAAGGCGTTAGTCCTCGTAGAATGAGGTTTCCATACGTCGACATAACTCAAAGGCAGTGTGGACGCAGGTATAGTTTTGTCGACAAAAGTCCACTGTTGTCGACAAAACCCTGTAGTCTAGACACACCCTATGTGTTCACTTTTTGTTTGTTTGTATCCCTCTGGTATTTATGGTCATGCCCAGGACTCGAAAAAGTCTTGAATCTACTCACTCGTGGCAAGTAGATTTCAGCCGGGCGCCCCGTTCGTTTGCAGTGCACGCGTGCGCAATGTGGATCCTGCGCGTGCGCAGTGCAGGGCTGGCGAGTGGCTTTTGCCACTGTTCGTCAAGCCCTGGTCATGCCCATCACCTAATAAACCATCTTGTTAGTCTTTAAAGTGCCACAATAGTCCTGTCTTTTGTTTCAGCTACACCAGACTAACACGGCTGCCTCTCTATCACTGCTATTTGTATCCCTTTGAAGGGGTCTGTGAAAGTCTGCTCACGGCGAAATCCATAAACTTCAACAGAAAAAAGGGTTATCAAAGTGGAGTGTCTTGCTTGAACTTTGGGTTCGTCTTGTCACCCACTCCAGAAGAGCATCGGATCGTGACCAGCCCTGCTCCCCCTCTGTGATCGATCTGGCTGGCCACTAAATTGGTCCCCACTCTGGACTGGTAACTATAACATCGTCTGGCGGGACTGTGTGTATGGTGTGTGTTTGTGTGAGTGACTGAGGAGCACAGGCTACTGTTATGTTCTCAATAAATGCGGCATGCTGCCTTTTCCCCTATAAAAGATCTTGCGTGCTTTGTTTATGCACAACACCTAGCTTCTGTCTGAACCCTGTTAAAGTCCTGAGCTTCACCACATCCCCCGGCGAGGAGTTCCACAGGTTGACTGAGCGCTGCATGAAGAAAAACTTTCTTTGGTTTGTTTTAAACCTGCTGCCTATTGGTTTCGATTCATGGCCTCTCGTTCTTCTGCGATGGAAACAAGTCGATAACTTTTCCTTATTCACTTTCTCCACACTGGTCATGATTTTATAAACCTCAATCCAACCTCTCCCCCCTCCCCGGAGTCTCCTCTTTTCTAAACTGAAAAGTCCCCATCTCTTTAATCTCCCGGCCAGCCTTCCCCAGAGGAGAAAGAACTGGGGATCTGTTCTGGCTCCGTCTCCCGTCTAAACACAACGCGGAGCAGGAGTTCCCGCCATGTGCTGGGAAGCCAAGAGTGACAACTGCCATGAGGCTCGTGAGCAGGACGGGGCGAGGCAGGCCCGGGGCTGTGGGGGAACCCCCCGGGTTTCTCTTCTCTGACTCAGTTTCCCTGGCTCCCCACCTGTGCAGCTGGGTTTCTGGGTCCGCCTCTCCTCCGAGCCCCGGAGATCCGGCCCCTCCGGCTCCGCCCTGCGTTCCATCGGGGAGGTCGCGTCCGGCTTGGGAGCTGGACGGGCTGGGGAAGGAAAACAGGTGGTGTTGGGATTGGTGTAGCTCTCATCATGGGCTGTGGTCCCGGAATATTAACTCGGCCCTTGTCACGCGGGAAAAGCTCCGGGCCAGCGCTGGGCTGCCGGGGGCCCTCGTCGTGGGAGAATGTTGTGGTGCACGTCTCGGCGGGCAGCAACGCCTGACACGCATTCATCCTCTGCCGGGTTCCCCAGGCCGTTTAAACTCCCAAAGCATTGTGGGGTCTCGGCATGAGCAAGAGGGATTCCCTCAACAACACAGTCAAAGGGGTTAATGGGAGACATTTTACAAAGCTTTTAGGGTGTAGGTGCGCGTGAGTGTGCACATGTGCGCATGCATGTGTGTGTTCGTGTGTGCATGCATGCAGGTAGTGTGTGCACGTATGCATGAGGGCATGTGCATGCATACATGTGAGTGTGCATGCATGCAAGTGTTCGTGTACACGCATGCACGAGTATGCATGCACACATGTGCACGTAAGTGCATGCATGAGTGTGTACATGTGTGTTCACACATGTGTGCATGGGCATGAATGTGAGTGTGCATGTGTGCGTGTGCATGGATGTGCGTGTGCATGCATGCAGGTGTGCGTGTGCACGTATGCACGAGGATGTGTGCACGCATGCATGAGTGTGTGCGTGCATGCATAAGTGTGTGTGTACATGTGTATGTGTGTCCATGTGCATGTGGGCATGCATGCGTGTGAGTGTGCGTGCATGCAGGTGTAGATGCAGGCCTAGATTTCGGGGGGCAGACGACCCACACAACTGCCAGCAGGAGGGCAGGACGCCGGGCTTACAGATTGCCCGTGTGGGGTGGATAAATCACCCGTGCCAACTACGCGCCCAGGCTGGGAACCGGGTTCTACGTGCCACGCCAACTACGGTGCTGAAAACCACGCGGCAGCACCGTAGTGACACCCCAAAATCTATCGATCGTATCATGAGCTTTGGGAGGGGCGAGCGAAACTCCGGCCCACCTGAGGACGTGGGCTGTGCCCCCCGAAAGCGCGTGATCCGATCCCTAGAGATGCGTTTTGCTGAGTTTCCACGGTGCCACGGGACCCCACGTTGTTTTGAAAGTCACCCACGACCACGGCTGGGAAGGCATTGAGTGACACCCCAAAATCTATCGATCGTATCATGAGCTTTGGGAGGGGCGAGCGAAACTCCGGCCCACCTGAGGACGTGGGCTGTGCCCCCCGAAAGCGCGTGATCCGATCCCTAGAGATGCGTTTTGCTGAGTTTCCACGGTGCCACGGGACCCCACGTTGTTTTGAAAGTCACCCACGACCACGGCTGGGAAGGCATTGGGGGGGGAGCTTTCCTGGGTTGGCTAGTCCCGGGGGGAAGCCGTGTTAGTCTATATCTCAAAAAACACTCCGGGTATGTCTACACAGCAACGTTATTTCGAAAGAACAGCCGTTCTTTCGAAATAACGTTCCTAGCGGCGACACAAGCCAACTGCTATTTCGAAAGTCATTCGAAATAGCGGAGGGCGTATTTCGAAATGGGGAAGCCTCATTCCACGAGGAATAGCGCCCGTTTGGAAATTGCGATTTCCAAAGAAGCGCTGGGTAGACGCTTATTTCGCAATAGAGGGCCTCCAGCCCTTCCCAGGGTGCCTTGCTGGTCGCCCTGGCCACAAGGTCGCTTCTGATCTGATCACCTGCCGGAACCAGTTCCAGCTGTCCTTAAATGCGATTCAGCGTCCAATCAGTGTGGACGCGCTATTTCGAAAGAGCAAAACGCTATTTCGAAATGCATTTTGTGTGTAGACGCGTTATTTCGAAATTCGATATTTCGAAATAACGCTATAGTGTGGACATACCCTTAGACAACAACACCGGCCGGGTAGCACCAAAAGGAACAAGACTCACACTTTTGACCGAGTTTTTTTTTTTCCTCCTTTCTTTTCTCCTCCCCTTCCTCCCTCTTTCCCCTGCTTTCTACTTCAACCACAGTGCCTCTTGCTCCATATTGGCCATCCGAAGATGCCAACCGTGCCGACCGCAAAGCAACCGCTGGGGTGGGGGGGAAGTTTCGTTCCCGCTAGCTCCGATCTGCCCCACGGGTGCCGGAGACCGCCAGCTGGTCCTAGGGTTGCCAGGTGTCCGGTTTGGAACCGGACAGTCCAGTATTTGAGCTTTCTGTTCGGGGAAAGAAATGGAGACGCTAGAAACGAGACAATAGAAACGGCCGGTATTTTCGAAATCAGATGTGCTGTCGATTGTGACGGAAGGTCGAGCGTGTCCGGTATTTTTGTTGACACCAGCTGGCCGGATAGTTTCAGAAAAAGTAACAGACGTGGCGGGAAAAAACATCGGTTGAGCAACAAACAAACAAACGAACGAACAAACAAGGACCAAGTTGTTGAGCAAAAAAAAAAGTCTCTTTTTTTTTACTGGACCGAAACCGTCAATAACGGACTGTCCGGCCCAAAACCAGACACCTGGCACGGATAAGTCCCAGCCTGCATGAAAGGCAACTTACAATGTCTTACAGGCCCTGGCTTATTGCAACCTGAGTCCCTGCCGGTTCTTGTACAATGTCTTACAGGCCCTGTCTTATTGCAACCTGAGTCCCTGCTGGTTTTTGCCGGAGCTGCGGGCACCTGCTTTCTCTCACCTTTGCTCCCCGATCTCTTCTTACCTGCAGGCCACAGGGCCCAGCCTGCTGGGGGTCAGTGCAGGCCTGCCTCCGGCCCAGCCCGGCGGGGGAGCCGCATGTCAGAAAGCAGGCAGCTGCAAAGCAAGCAACACTGCCGGAGCACAGTGAATAACCCAGGAAGCTCAGCCGAGCAGACAGCAAGCAAGCTAGCTGCATCCTGGCCTCTCTTAGCCTGGCCAGGGCCCTCTGGTGGCAGGAGTGCACCCCTCCTGCCCCCCCCTGCACACTTCGTGGGGGGCTGGTTAGGTTGGAACTTTGCACCGTCGTCGACACCGATGGATCCATCAGCCGCACCCTCGGCCGGGAACCAGAGGCATCCAGCCAGGCCGCAGAAGAGACAGACAAACAACGAGCCAGCCAGACGACACAGGCCTGCGTTCAACGTCAACGACTTTAAAAAAAAAATAATCATAAAGGGAAAGCAGCATTTTTGGCCCCCCCACTGCAAAGTAAAGTTTCAAAGCTGCAGGAAGTCACCGTCCAGAGGCGAGCAACAAACACGATGCAAACTCTCGACCAATGTTGCTCATCCTTTTTTTATAAAGTCCCCCTTTTAAAAAAACACACAATTAGAAGCACCCACAGTACCTACAGTTTTCAGATACGCAATTTTTTTTCTACCCTTGCAACACATTTGTGACTCGTTTTAATAACTTCCCGTGTTGCCTAGGTGTTTCTCAACCTTTTTTTTAATAAAGTACCCCTTTAAAAAACATAAGTACCCCCACTACGTACAGTTTTCTTTCAGATACGCCATTTTTTTTCTACCATCGCCACCCGTTTGTGTAAATAACGTCATCATGGCCCCCAAATTGTTGGGTGTAAAAAGTATCAAAATAATACAGGGCTGTCAAACTTCCAGCAAAAGTTTTCTCCAAATTTCAGGGGTGGGGACGTACCCCACAGGCTCTCAACCGTAACACTGGTTGAGAGAACATGAGCTAGGAGGGACGACGGAAAGAATTGGGCTGGTTTAATTTGGAAAGGAGAAGACCGAGAGGGGACATGAGAGCTGCTGTCACATATCTAAAAGGGCGTCACGAGGAAGAGGGAGAAAAATTGTTCTCTTTGGCCTCTGAGGACAGGACAAGAAGCAATGGGTTTAGACTGCAGCAAGGAAGGTTGAGGTTGGACATGAGGAAAAACTTCCTCTCCCAGTAGTGAAACACTGGAATAAATTGCCTAGGGAGGTGGTGAAATCTTCATCCCTGGAGATGGACACACACCGGTCAGGGATGGTCTAGACAGGGCTTGGTCCTTTCGTGAGGGCAGGTGACGGGACTCAAAGTCGGCTTGAGGTTCCTGTCCGTTCTAGGGTTCTATAACGTTTAGCGGCAAATGTTGGTTCAGCGTTCAACACCCACGTCGAGACGTATCTGCTCCGGCAAGTTTCGGTTCTTTTCCACCCGCTTCCATGACACATCCGTCCCCCAACATTCACACAGCGATGTTGCCAAGGCGGCCGGCACAGGGAACGATAATTGAGCCCAACGTTTTATTGCTCTGTTGGAAAGAGCCGGAAAGTCTTGACTTTGCCTCTCTGCAGAAAACAGCGGCCTGGGTTTTTCTTTTTCACGTTTGTTACATTTCCTATAGGGCTGAAAACGAGTAGCTGTCCTGGGAGCCAATTTTTTTTTTTTTAAGAAAGGACTGGAATTTCGAATGCAAAAGGAAGGCGTATCATTTTCAGGCCTTTCTGATTCGGCAGCAGAAGTTAATCGAGTCCAGCCCCCTGCCCAAGGCAGGACCAACCGCAACTCCATCATTCCGGCCAGGGCTTGGTCCAGCCGGGACTGAAATACCTCTAGGGATGGTGATTCCACTCCCTCCCTAGGGAACCCATCCCAGCGCTTCCCCACTTGCCTCGGGAAATCGTTTTTGCTATGACGGTTCCCCATTAGCTGTGTATTGCTACGCCATACATAGGGGAACTGCTCCCACTAATCTTTTCCATCCACGCGCCGATTTTTTTTTTTCCATCCACGAGCGGAATAAATTTTGTGTTGTGCACCGATGCCTGTGTGGATGTGCACCAACCCTAGAAACAAAACGGAGCAGCGAGCGCGCTGCGAATCGGCGGGGCGGTTTTGGAAACTCTCCTGAGCGGCCGCCCACGTGTCTCGCTTACAGGGAACACTGGTCAGGGGTGGCGAACCTACGGCCCAAGGGCCGAATCCGGCCCCCGAAGCTACGGGCTCCCCCAAACATCGGGAAGCTAGTGCCGGTGCCTCAGCCCTGTGGTTCCCCCACCCTGCTCCTGCACCCCCAGCCCAGTTACTGCCAGCGCCCTGCCCCACACCGAACGCTTCATTTTTGGCCCCACCCCAGAGCCTAACGGGGGACCCCAAAATCTACTAGCCCCGGCCCCCCTAAGTCTGGAGTGTGAGCGGATTGTGGGGAGTTTGTCTGCTTCTCGGTCGGGGGCCACGCCAGTGAGGTGGGTTTGGGTTTTGTTTTCTTTTGTTTGGGTGGCTTTTTTAGGGTTTTGTTGTTGTTTTCTTTTTTGGGGGGTTGGGTTTTTTTGTTTTTATTGTGTGTTGTTTTGGGGGAGTTATTTT